GGCGGGCCCTGCTCAGCACCTGCCCCCTGCACGGAGCAGCGCTGGGGAACCTGCCCAGGCCCAGCCCAGCTGGGGCCCTGGCTGGCTGCAGGGGTGGCCTGGCAGGTGCATCTGTGGAGAGCGAGGCCCAGAGCCCTTCCTGGGGCCCTGCTGGCTGGTGCCAACCCTTGTCCCAGGCTGCTGTTGGAGGTCATGGGAGGCAGATGGCATGGTGCCCTGGCTGGTGTTGGAGGGTGCATGGACCCGGTCTCACTGGCCTCACCTTCACGGGTCTTGGCCCACAGGGTGGGGGTGTGGTATCCCCCCTCCATAGAGCAGGCAGGGACTGGCCACAGAAGATGGGGACAAGAGCATGTCCATCTCTCTGTCTCCTCTTGCAACCCACTGCAGCTCCATTCCAGGATGCCCCCATGTCTCACACACTCTTTGAGTAGCCAAAGATACCGACAGGGAGGTACTTCACGTGTGTTGGCCACTGAGCTGCCAGCTGGAAAAACTTCACATCGTTCCACTCCACCCCATCTATGGAGACTGAGAAGAGAGGGTGCAGTGAGGCACAACCCTGCCACAGCCAGCCTGTGCTGCTTGGTCTGCCCTGCAGCCCCAAGAGGCTTATACCTCCCCTCACCTCGCAGCATGGTGTTCTGGTGCTTGGCTGTGCAGATGAGGCGCGTGATCCCTTCGATGACTTGGCTTTTGGGTTCCAAGTCCTTTTCTTTAGGTTTCTTACTCAGGAACATCACTGGGGGCCAAGGCCAGACAAGACCAATGTTAGGATGTCCCCACCTGGCACTAGGTGGGAGCCCTTGCCCCAGGGCTGGCCCCTGCTAGGCCAGCTCTCAGCCCTGTCCTCCCTCCTGCCCTTTTTGCAAAGGACTCTGGCCCCACAGTCAGAGAGCACCCAGAGTGGGCTTGGTTACCTTTCTTGTTTTTCTCCTTGGTGACCACAGTCATGGCCATGGTGCTGGGGGGCACCAGTTCCCCTGTGCCAGGGATGCGGCTGACCTGGAGTGAGCGGAAGTTGCTCTTGAGCGTGTTCTTGATACCCGTCTCCCGCTTGTCACCTTCCTTCTTCCTGTCCAGCCCTTGTGTTGTCCAGTAGTCCACCTGCAGGCCCATCACCTCCACACCGGGGCTCAGAGACCTGGGCAAGATGGGCAGCACCATGCAGCACAGAGGTGCTGCCCGTGCTCCTTCCCAATTGCCCAGCTGCAGCCTGCTCTGGGAGCACCAGTAACGCTCCTATCCCAGCCCCTGCTGCCTCAGGCTGAGCGCGCCTTGCCTTCTTACCCAGCCCCCGAGAGGCCGCTGCTGACGGACGGGGAGGGTGGCGGAGTGCTCACGGTCTCCTTGCCATAGGGAGCTGCTCCACTGGTGGCTGGCGCTGAGCTCAGCAGGGAGGGGGTACAGACTGTGGCATCATCTGAGTCCACTGCGGAGGAAGAGTATGGGTTGTGGGGGCTGGGGGACCCCAACAAGGGCCTCCCACAGTGGAGAAGAGAGCTGGGGACTGTGGGCTCCCAAGGACTCACCAGAGGCACTGAAAGACTGCTCCACCAGGCCCACCTTCACCACCTGCAAGGACAGATGAGTCAGAGGACAGCCAGCACCAGCAGGGCTATGTGCTGCCCCTCTCTCCTCAGCCCCAATGGCCTGCTGGCCCCTCAAAACACTCACCCCTACAAAGGGCACAAACTTCTGGCAGGAGTCCTCGTCGGGGCTAGAGAAGGAAGAGAGGCTGGTCAGGGTTCTGGGTGTGCTGAACACCGAGTGCCATGTGACTAGCCTAGCGCCCAGGCACCCTCGCACTGGCAGGGGTCAGTGCTGGCTCACAGCCCCAGGGTTAGTCTCCTCTGCCCTCCCTCCCATGGGACCCCCTGTCCCCAACATGGCAGCACAGGGCACACTACACAAGGAGGCAAGGACTTGTCCCCTCCAGGGCTGGGAAAGGGCTTGCATGCGGGAGGGCAGCCCTGCCCCACTTTTGGGGTCACGGCTCCTCTGCACAGCAAGAGGGATGGACGCACATGGGGGAAGGTGGGGGGGGCCAGGCAGCGGCACAGCAAGCACAAGCCAATACCTGATATAAAAATCAAAATAGAGACTTCTCTTCCTTGAGTGCCAGAAACCAAGAGAAGGGAGAGGTGAGAGTGCAGCTGGAACATGAGCGTCAACCCCCGGGCAGCACAGTACCAGCTTGCAGCCCCCGCCCAGCCCATCCCAGCCCTGGCAGCTGGTCTCCACCATTGGGGCTGTCACAGCCACAGCTGCTGGAGGGGCCAAGCACACCGGGAGGTGGCAGGGAATGATGCTGCAGGCCTCTCACTATGGAACCCCAGCTCCCCTCAGCACCACGCTGCTCTCAGTGGAATGCAGAGCCTCACTCACTTGTCCTGTGTCCCACATCCCTGTCCTGAGCACAGCCCAGACTGGGGCCACATGAGGGAGGCCAAGTGCCCTGGGGCCATGCTCACCTCTTCTGCTTGTATGTCAGCATGGCCTCAGAGATGGGAAGCTGGTGAGAGAGGCTGGCTCCAGCGATGAACTGGGCAACACGGCCTGCAATGTCCACAGTGTCTGTGGGCACAAAGAGCCGTGAGGGTCTCAGTGGCAGCTGGGCTCCCATCAGGGCACTGCTGATGCCACCCTGCCCTGCTCCTCACCTGCGGTGGGTGGCTCAGCCCTGCTGAACAGCTCCCGCCATGCTGTGTCCAGGAAGAGAGTGCTGTATTTGTTATCCACCGAGGCCAGGTACTTGGCCAGAGGGTGAGAGCCTGTGGGTAAGAAGGGCAGCGTTGGCTCCAGGCAGGGGAGTCTGGGGAGGCAGGAGAGGACAGCCCTGGGACCAGGCTCACAGGGGCTCTCACCCAGCGGCACAAGAAGGAAGCGAAGGTAGTTGAGCCAGTCGGGTGTCTTGCTGGCCAGTTGCTCCACAAAGAAACGGAGGACAACACTCAGGTAGCTCTGGTCCCCTGCCACCACCACCTTCACCGGGGGAGGCATATGAGAGTTACAGTTACAGCTGCCAAAGGGAGAGAAAAGGAGACCATGAGGGATGTGCAGTAGCTCAGCAGGTGGGCCAGGGGACATGCCCTGTCAGGCCAGCTGACAGGAACCCATCGCTGAGAATTTCCAGCTTGCTGTGCACTGCCAGGGGCAAAAGCAGCACTGGAATACTGGGATCCCTCACTTTCCCCAGGTCTACACTTGTTTTTACAGCAATGTTCACAACTCCAAAGGGTCCTAATGAGCCCTGGGGAGCCAGGGCCATACTCAGCCCTTCTCTGAATTCACGTGGAGCCACCAGGCTGAGCCCAAGTTGTACTCACTATCGCTGGATGCGGGACACAGTGGTGTTGAAGGCTGCCTGGATGTCCGCCACGGAGCAGGTGGATACGACCAACTGCTTGTGCGCCTGGAGCTGCTCACTCACGTACTGCCAATGCAGAGAACTCAGGTTAAGGCACCCTGGGGGCATGGCTGTGCTGGCCAGCACCAGCGCATGCCTGCCTTGGCCCCCCCCTGCCCTCTGGGATAGAGCTGGGACCCCTGTCCCCACCCATGCCATGTGGGTAGGCTGAAACCATCAGGTCACTCATGGTTGCATGCCTGAGCATCCCTGCTCCTCCCAGCTCTGCTCTAGAGGCCGTCTGCCCCAGCCCTCTGCTCTCACCTTTGAGCACAGCAGTCACCACCCTTGCCATGGCAAGGGTAAAACCATCCCAAGAACCAGGCTGTGCTCCTTGACATAACTGGTTTGGTCCAGAGACCCTCGGATTTAAATTCCGCCACCCCACGGCAGGGCCCAGCTATACACTCAGTCCACCTCTGCTCATTCCCTCCTCTTGCTCTCCCACAGTGTGGCACTCCAAAATCCTTCTGTGTCTCTTCAAGTGTCTGCATGCAGTTTAATGGTGGTAAAACAGGCAGTCATGCTAGACAAGGGGGCTTAGAAGATACTGACAG